GGCTCTATAGCCCTTGGAGGGGGTAGGAGGGGGGGTCCAAGGGTTTTGGGGGTCGGGATCGGGGGGTGGGGGGATAAAAAAAAACCTATTTATACTCCTATTTTCTATACATTTTTTACACCTCTTCTCCAACTCTTCCTACTCTCTAATTCTCTATTCCCTCATAATCTTAAATCTTAATCATCTCCATCTTCATCTTCTCCAAATCTCTCTCTCTATATATATATATATATATTTTTTTTATATAATTATTATATCTACTTATATATTAATTATCTACTTATATACCTATATTATATTACTAATATTTGTTATCTACTCAATATATATTTATTATCTTCTTAATATTTACTTTGATATCTACTTATCATCTATACTTATTGTTATTTACTTATATATTAAATTATTAATTATCTACTTTACATACATATATTATATTACTTATATTCCTTATCTACTTAATCTCTACCTATTATCTACTTATATATATTAAAGTATTATATATAAGTGTATTACTCATCTTATAGTAATATACTTATATATTATATACTATAAACATTATATTATATATTAGTTATAAAATAATCTACTTATATACCTATATTATATTACTAATATTTATTATCTACTTAATATATACTTAAATTACTTATTATCTACTTATACATCTCCATCTTCATCTTCTCCAAACCTCTCTACATATATATATTATTTATATAATTATTATATCTACTTATATATTAATTATCTACTTATATACCTATATTATATTACTAATATTTATTATCTACTTAATATATACTTATTATCTACTTATACATCTCCATCTTTTTAATATTTACTTTGTTATCTATATTTATTGTTATTTACTTATATATATTAAAGTATTATATATAAATGTATTACTCATCTTATAGTAATATACTTATATATTATATACTATAAACATTATATTATATATTAGTTATACAATTATATTAGTTACACTTGAATTCATAGTAATTAAATTCATCGTATTAGTTAATTTTTACATTTTTCATTAAAGTATAAAACTAGTCAATTGTTACATTTTTCATTCAAGTATAAAACTAGTTAATAGTTACATTTTTCATTAAAGTATAAAACTAGTTAATTGTTACATTTTTCATTAAAGTATAAAACTAGTTAATTGTTACATTTTTCATTCAAGTATAAAACTAGTTAATTGTTACATTTTTCATTCAAGTATAAAACTAGTTAATAGTTACATTTTTCATTTCACTATTATTTAATTTTTTAATTGTTGCATTCATCATAAAAGTAAAAAACTAGTTAATTATTAATTGTTGCATAATTGTTGCATTAAAGTATAAACTAATAAAAGTAGTTAATTTTATTAGTCGCATTTTATTATTACTATTGTACTCATATTAAAACATTTGATATATATAATATTTGTTACATTTTAAAAATGGACCGTGCCAGACATTCCGTAGATGTGGGTAGTCTCCAAGTCTCCAACGCAACCGAAGGAAGGAGATTGCGACAAGTCATCCTAGTTTACACAAAGGCAAAGGTAAAGGGCGGGCCAGGTCTTCTTCTCAAAGTCGAGAAGATTTTGATGACGGATACCAAAGGCGAGATGGGGATGCGATGTCCGACGAGCAACTACAACAACTATTGGCGCAAAATGATGGTCACTTTTTCCAACAACAAAACATCCCGGAGTTCATTGATGAAGAGGAGCTCGAGGATGACGATGCGGAAGAGGACGAGGGGGGCGACAGGACTCACGGCACCCCGGATGATGAGCAAGAGTGGGAGGACGAGGGCGGTCCATCCCAAGTTGGTAAGAAATCTAAATCTCCTATTATAGAAAATAATTTTACAAAGAGGAAAGACTCAAAAACCGATAAATGGTACGCAAGTTGCGATCATTGCAAGAAGGAGTATAGCTTGGGAACTTCCGGCGGATACGGGAGCCTCAAAAGGCATCTTAAGTCCGCACACTGTGGAGTATGCGAAAATAGACAAAAGGAAGGGGAAGCAAACTCAAATATCGAGGTTTGCAAATGACCAACCTTTTGGCAATTTCTCATACACTGATGCACAAAATTTGACTGGTATGGCTAACTTGTTGAAGAAAATTTGCCTTATTTGTTTTCTGAAAGTCTTGCTTTTAAATATTATGCACAAACTTGTTTAAATCCTTAATTTAGAAGTTATAGTTGCAAAATGGTTAAGAAAGAAATTATAAAGCTTTATCGTGCGGAAAATGATAGGTTACAAATTTTTTTTGCAAACTTTGATGGCCGTGTTACTATTTGTTCTGACACTTGGGAGAATACTTATCATAATTTACATTATTTGGGCCTGAATGCACATTTTATTGATAGTGATTAGAATTTGCATAAACGTGTTCTTGCTTTTCGTGAATTTAATGATCGTCACACCGCTGAACATATTTATATTTTGATTGAACGTATTATAACTGAGTATAATTTGATTGATAAGGTGTTTGCTATAGGTTTTGATAATGTTACTAATAATACTGCTGCTATACCTAGATTGCGTGAATTATGTGGTTCTAATACTTTGATGAGTAGATTTTTTCATCAACGATGTGCATGCCATATTATAAATTTATGTGTGCAAGACGGTATAAAAGCGTTAGGAGATGCTATGGAGGTAGTCAAAGGGGGGGGGGGATTAGACGTATTTGGGGCAATGGTCAACTTAAATTAAAGTGACAAAATTATTTGATTGAAAGAGGTGTGAAATATGTTGCTTTCCCTAAAGATTTGTCGATTCGGTGGAATAGTACTTATAAATTAATTAAAGTTCTTCTTAGATATAAAGAACATTTTCCTGCTTTTTTAAGACAATATGATAACTATATTTTAAACCCCGCTCACATCGACACTTGCGAAAAAATTTGTAATGTTTTGATATATTTTAATAATGCAACTGAAAGTTTTAGTCATGTTTATAAACCTACCTCAAACGAATTTATTCATGAAGTTGTTAATCTCGTCGGTGCTTTTAATGAATTTGAGGATGCCGCTTACGTGAGTTATTTTTGTGGTTTTATGAAGGAAAAGTTTTTAAAATATTATATACATATTCTGTATATTTATAGTATTGCATTTATTCTCGATCCTCGTTACAGACTTGGTAATTTGGAAGAATGTTTGAAGTTCTATTATAATGCTTTTTTTGGTCCATTTCCAATGTATGATGATAACACCATAGATCTGCAAGTTGAATACAACGAGGTTAGTAATTTATTTTATGCCTTATTTAATGAGTTTCGTGCACAATATGGCAACGCGCCCCCTCCCCCGATGCACACATCTTCATCTAAAGGAAAATCACTTTTTAAATCTGCTTCTGACAATCTTATGAAAAAACCTAAAACAGCTCACACTACTGAACAAAACGCACTTAATGAGATTTCTTTGTATATAAATTATGAGGTAGAATTTGACGAAAATGAGGAGTTTGACGTTCTAAAGTGGTGGAAGTCAAAAGAAAGAATGTTCCCGATTTTGGCACGGATGGCTAAACAAGTGCTATCAATGCCGGTTTCAACAGTTGCCGTGGAACAAGAATTTAGTTCGGCCGGCAACATTCTAACGACATCTAGAACGAGTTTGAGCGCTGAGTCTCTTGAGACGCTTATATGCTACCACGATTGGTTGAAGGTCATACGTACATGTCAAGAAATTAGCATCACCCCCTCCCAAGACTTTATGGATGAATCAACAACCGAGGGTGACTCCTATGCCAGAGATTCCGATTGATTAGTATTTTACTGTTTATTATAAAATGTATTTCATGTTTTAATTTTTCCTTCAATTCTTTATTGTAATTTGTAAAGTTGTAGTTCATATTTCAAATAAATATACATTTTTTTATATGTAGCACTTCTCAAATTAATTAATTAATTAATTGGTTACAAACTTACAACTTACCACTTAGAATTTATTATATTAGTATTTTTTAAAAATGTATTTCATATTTAAGTTGTATTAAAAAGAAAAAAAATATATAACCTAGGCCCGACCCGACCCGGCGGGTGGCCCGGCCCGGGGCCCAGTGGGTGACCCGGCCCGAACTGGCACCGGGCGAAGGACGGGCCAGTTCCGGGGCCCCCTTTCTAGGACCGGAGGCCCGACCGGGCCTAGGCCCGGCACGAGCCCGAACCGAGTCCAGCTCTACTTATGTGACTTGCATCCTCCAACATTGCAAATAGCCTAAAGATGTGTACTCCGTAATAAACAGTGAAATAAATACTCCCCAACTCCCTATGTCCTTGGGGATATATAAGCAACATAACTAAAGCATGAGAGTTCATTTTTTCATCATTTTCATTTACCCTAGTGCCGCAAAGGCTCCCACCTACGGTGGGGTAAGAGTAGGGGTGGACCGGTTCCGGTTCGGGCCCGGTTCGGGCCTGGGCCCGGCCGGACCTCGGTTCAGAAAAATGAGGCCCGAGCCCGAACCGGTGGTGGGCGGTTCCGGGCCAGACCGGGCCGGGCCGGGCCACCCAGATTTTTAATTTTTTTCTTCTTCTCTTATTTAACCCCCTACCCCTCCCTCTCCACCCCAAACCACCCCAAACCACCTCAAATGGCCCAAAATACCTAATCCAACCCAAAACTTAAAAAAATTTCCAAAAAAAAAAAAAAATTAAATCCCGGGCCCAGACCGCTATACCACCGGGCCGGGAGGCCCGAACCGGGCACGAACCGGTTTACCGGGCCGGTCCGGGCCCGCACAGTAGCGGGCCGGTCCGGTTCCGGGCCGGTTGGCCCGGCCCGAGTCCATCCCTAGGTAAGAGGGGGTCAGATGTACGCAGTCTTACCGCTGTACTAAAGCACAAAGAGACTGTTTTCGAATGACCCATTGTGAAAATCGCGTCCAAAATTGCATGGACTGACTGCTGCTTCATAACAAAGAAGCGCAGACAGTTTAGTAGGCCATTTTTCTTTATTCCATAATATTCTCAAGCCTAAAAATAGTGAATCTTTGGCTTTATTGCAAATGATGGAATAAACCCCAAAAAATCTGTTAGTGGCAAAACAGATGAAATAAACTAAAAAAAGTAAGAAACCAGAGGTAAACAGCTTTCAGGTACATGTAACAAATACCACGATTGATAAAACAATGTACTTGTGATCGATTTGAGACTTATTTATTACAGAAAATACATTGACCAACCAAAAGAGCAGAGGAAGCGCTTAAAACTAGGATTCAAGAAGAATCCCATGCAGAAAGAAGACCTAGCATACAGAGGCAATTGCCTCTAATAACGAAGCAGCAAATTGCATTTGGGTCTCCTCGTCTATAGTTAAGAAGAGAGGGAAGTGTACAAATAGGGATTGTATTCCGTTCTGCTCCGCAAACCGCAACGAGTGATAGTACACATAGTTGCAAACAAAGCGGCCTGCATCATCAGAGCTCATCACTTCGTAACCCATCTTTGCTAAGCCTTTGCTGATCTCCTCAACCGGAAGAGAAGTCTACATATTTGTTAAATAAACACAACATTGAGCATTTTGTTCCAACATTTCTGGGGATGGGGCGTGAGTTCACAGCAACTGTAGCTACAAACCTAATATACACACTCCATTGGCCTAAATTTAGTTTAGATAAGTGAACACATATTAAGGAATACAAAATGACTTTCCCTGAAAATGTTCATCGTTAAATACTTTTTATGTCTTTTCAAGTCAAAATAACCTTTGATATGAGAAAAGTCAATAAGGGCAAATGTGGGTGATTAATACAAAATATGCATTGAAATCCTAGAACGGCAACTCTTTTGTGAAAAAATATATTGGCTAAATCGACAAACAAATTGGGATGGAGAGAGTTACCATGTGGTAAATTGAGCTTGAGTGCTTGACATGTAATGGATGGAGGGGTAGAAAATCACACACCTTACAGCTAACATGACCCCCCCCCCCCCCATGAAAAGTATTAATTTCATAGTGGCCTTGATTTTGATATTTACGATTATGAAATATCAGTAACAAACTCATTTTGGTTTAGTATAGAGCAGCATCATAGAAAAAAGTAAAGGCAATTGTCTCCCGAAGAAGTTGAAAATACCAGATATATACGAGGCAATTTGTGCATGAAAAATTGAAGACAGTTCACCTTCACTTTCAGAGAGAGAGAGAGAGAACTCACCTTTCTTATGTGTGAAATTGCACCATCACTGGGAACTATTGGAACTTTCTGCAAATAAACAACAAAGGGTAATCACTAAAATAAATGATATAGAAAAAAAGTGTACGGAGGGTAATAGAGGACATTATACTGACATGTGGTTTCCATCCCATTTCATCCGGGCAGCGGAAAGTGGCCTCATTAACAGCTTGTTGTTCTATGGCAAACCTTGTAGCACCACTATTAACTCCAAAGTGTACCTGAAAAATATATGTGATAACAACATGAAAGACTTGAGACACAAACGGGGTAATCCCAGGTTAAGTCTACACATAATTTTAACACACAAAGGTTCTGGTTTCCAGATACGGAGAAGAGTTAAAATCGGTGAATTTTGAGTAACAAAACAATTGAGTTAATCGGAATAATAATAAAGCTATTACAATTCCATTACTTTGTATAACTGTACAAAATGAAATATTGGTAACTTATTCCCTTTCTCAGATGAAATTTCTGTAATTAGTGTTCCAGAAAGTCAAAACGGAATGAATTGTTGAGGAGGTTTGGAAAAAAGTTTGCATACGAAATGTGTGAGTGTGGTCAGGATTTCAGATGGGATGTAGACATGTAGTTGGTGTGATCAGAGTTTGGGAGGTGAGCATGTGGGAGTGGCCAAGATATGGGATGGTCAGGGTAGGTCTATGTGATGCGGATAAGGGTATAAAAGTCTCAAGGATTATTTCTTCTTCTAAAGGACTAGAAATAATCAGAAAAAGAAAAACTTAGGAATTCTAAAATTGCTCTCTTTATGAAATGTAACAATTTTTTATTGGGAAAATGGAAACTAATAATCCAACCTTTTAGCGGTCTTCTTTCAATAATCCCACCTTTTGATTATTCATGAATAATCCAACCTTTGCACCTCATCTTCATTCATTGGTCCCTGGTCGGTTAATGACCTACTATTCCAAGTTATTTTCTTATCTTTGCAAAATATTATCTTTGTGAAAGATTAGATTTATGGTATAATGATTTGCAAAGATAAGAAAATAGCTTGGAATAGCAGGTCATCAACCAGTCAGGGACCAGTGAATGAAGATGAGATGCAAAGGTTGGATTATTCATGAATAACCAAAAGGTTGGATTATTGTAAGAAGACCGCTATAAGGTTGGATTATTAGTTTCCATTTCCCCTTTTTTATTTTCAGAATACTTAAATGAACCAATTTCACAAGCAAATGAAGCACTCAGGATCTTAAAGTCTAGCATATGTTTAAAAATGTAGTCTTTGAGCACGACAAATGTCAGATCTTATGAAGTTACCTTGAATATATATTATGGAGCAATATTTAGCCATGATTCTAAAGAGCTAATCAGGCAAGATCATGTAAGAAAGAAGAAAGAAAAAGAATGTAGACAGCCAAGCGAAGCCCAATGTGGCATTGCCTGGGTAGACAAGAGCGGGTCTTATCGTGCATTTTTCCAACATAGCAAATTAGTAGAGTAAAATGCTTTTGGGTCCCTTATCCAAAAAGGAGGTTTTGCAAAAACTTGTCTTGTTAGAACATGTTTTAGGAATTCAGACCTACTTTCAAAATATAGACAATTTAGCCCGAAGCACCGTTAATTGATTGAAAATAGACGTGATAATTATATTAAATCTCAAACATGTTCAAAATGCATAATTTTAAATTTATGAAATTGACAAATCACCATTGATTCAATAGACCCCTAATTTCAACGGTTTTTTCTCATGAGCTTTGTAATTCTTAGTGGTTCTGAAACTAAATTATTAATTTTTTGGAAGAAAGAGATCTTAATTGCCAAAAAACATACTTCGTACATGACTAGTTTTGTAAACACCCAGGGTAGTGGAATAAAAGAAAGTAATTTATCCAAATTAGTAAGATATGCCATGACTATCTCGTGTTTCTTTAATGAAGTAATAACGTGGAAAAGCCGAGTCTGAAATGTCACATTTCTCCATGGTCTAATTTGACAGGAATATAGTGTAGGCATCCAATGCTTTCATATCCAATAAGGAAAAATCAGTGTCCTTTTAAAATGTCATTTTCCAGGGTGTGAAGTGATAGGAGTTCATGTGAACCTAATTATACTTAAAAGAGTAACATAATTTACTGGCCATTGGCCATCCTTTAAAGTGAAACAGATATATTCTTATAAAACCAAGCGGGCAAGGGAAAGAGACTTGCCCAGATAATTCTTGAATTTGATGGATCAGAAGTATTGTTGCTTAGTGCAGACCGCAATGTTTCATACAGAGGAGCTAATGCTCCCTGGCCTGCAGTGTCAAGAATAGTGCAACTCCCAAGAATGAACCCTTTGGGCATTCCCCTTTTTTTCATATATTCTTGAAGGTTACTCACAATCGTTTCCGTTGGATTTTCTGCTACCCCATGAAATTTTCTAAAACCCGTAATGTGGATTGTTATGGCTGGTGGCCCCTCAGATCCCATGTAATACCACTTTCAGATCAATCCACGAATTCCAGCACAGCAAATATGTCAAAATGTCTACATCATACATATCAAAGACATTATATACAAAAACAACATCTTTCATCCACAACAAAAGAATAACAAATCAAATGAATGATGTGATCCGTTTCAACTCTCAACCAGAACCAGAGTGTGTCTCTGTGAGAGTGAGTTTGCATTTTCATATGTAATGATACAAAGGCTCAGCTTGGTAAGGAAAGACGTTTGGTCAAACCTATTTCAGCCAAATAAGTAACCCAAAAGCTAGTTATTCAAGAGCCCTTTTGGCATCCAAAAGTTGTCAAGTCTGCTTATCATAGAATAATCACAAAAAAAACATAATTAGTTTTTGACTTGCATTTTTGTTGAAGGGGTTTTTTGACTTGCTTATTTGGCTAAATCGGGTATTTCCAAATCTTTTGCTTTCAGAAAAGTTCAGCAAATACAGACCTATCACCCTTTCCAGACAGCCCTATTAAGGGAATAAGCCTAAGGGTTCTACCTAAGGGGCTCTAAACTTCAAGCTTCTTCTTTCTATTTCCAATCAAGAAAAATTTTCAATTCTCGACTACAAAATAAATAAAAATTATGAAAAGTGAGTAGAATCAAGGGCCAAAGAAAAGCAGAAAGAGAAGCAATCACATAAAAAGATTAAAGCCGGCACTGAGCATGATTGGGGGACTTCATAATCATAATAATAGAAGAGAAATCCAATTTCCATCCAGACGATGAAGATCAACCAAAACCAAAGAATTTCAATCCACGATAGAAGAAGATCATAATCCCTTGCGGCTATAACCGCTTCGCGAATCACTAACCCCCAAATCCATCGAATAACAGACACACATCACAGAAGAAAAAAGCTGATCAGGCATCAAGGGACCGACAAACGCAAAGAAAAGTACCTTAAAGAAAAGAAACAACTCTGTGGAATTCAGAACAGACTAAATCACGCGCAGTTCAGAACCAACAGGAAAGATAAAAGCTGAAAGAGAGAGTCAAAAGAAGAAATGACTCAACCACCACTGGACTTATCTATGCAAAACTGTTGATCGTGTCTGTACACTAGACAAGCTGATTGATAAGTGTTTATTATCTATCTAGAAAAAGAATATAGAGAACACTATCCTCCTAAAGGACAGCAGAAGTGGCGTGTCGTTTTCATCTGAAAAAAACCCCACGTAAATTTTAATTTTAGCCGAGCAGTTACTGTTATACCAGTATGATGATATGCGGTCATCTAATTATATTTTCACTTTACATGACCCAAAACGTATTCCTTGGGTTTTGCCGTGTCGAGGAGGACCTCTCATGGCCATTTCATTTCGACAATTACCAGGAATAATTGTTGGACCATTGTTTGCATCGACTACTTCCAGTAAAAACGGAATCCTGGCCTGTTTAAAGAACCGGACCGGATTGGCCGGTTTGACCCTTAATGGGCGACCTAGAGCACAGTCCGGTTACCGGTGAACCCGCAAATGTGTTGAAATCCGGAAATACCCGGTATCTCTTACAGACCCGGCCCGGACACCGAACCGTCCAAGCTCGGAAAATAGGAAAAGCCCCGGCCCAATGAGGAAACACGTTGCTGATGGGAATCCATCCATTCATCTCCGGGAAATATTGCAACACCTATTCCATTACACCAATTTGGGTTGTTTGCTCTTTCTTTCTTGACAAGTATTACCTCCGTCCCATAATAGTTGTCTCATTTTTATTTGGCACAGTTATTAATAAAGTTGTTAAAAAGCAAAAATTGTGCTTGAGAATTGAGTAGAATGAAGTGAAATAATATGGACCACAAGTTTTTTACCAAAAAGGGAAACATGACATCCATTTTGGGACAACCCATAAAGAAAAGTAAGACAACCAAAATGAGACGGAGTGAGTATTAATATATTATTATAACGTTTGTATTAAAAAATTGTTTAATTAAGATTTTTGCTAGTTCTTGACGTCTTGCTTCCTAGAAATCATACAAAGTAATATTAATGATAACAAATATTATACCTATTCTTATAAGTAGATATACCAATATAATATTTATAATTTTTTATTAAATGTTATAGTGCTACTATTTATCTAATGTCAAATACATTTAAAATTTTGTTAAAAAGTATACATTTAGAGCAATAATTTTATTTTTATATTTATCGTGTATCATCAAAATTAAATTATGATTGAAATAATTTTGCATTTACAAGTTTTATTTTACTCCGTATATATAATTATAGGGAAAAGATGCAAATAGACCCATGTACTAACCAAAAAAGGTCAAATAAGCCCTTATTTAGGAGACTCTGCCCGGTCGTCGCCATTTGGGTTGGTTCCCGGTGAAATTTTTTGATGAAATATTTTGAGCATATTACTCATTAAGTCTGGTTTACTCATACCAAATTTTAGCTAAAACTTCAATATGGAAGGCATTCAAATGAATTCTTGAAAATAACTGCACAGTTAGAAGCGCAGTTATCTTCAAAAATTCATTTGAATGCCTTCCCGATTGAAGTTTTAGCTGAAATTTGGTATGAGTAAACTAGACTTGATGAATAAGATGGTCAATTAATTTCATCAAAAAAATCCACCGGGAACCACACCAAATGACAACGGCCGGACAGAGCCTCCTAAACAAGGGCTTATTTGACCTTTTTTTGTTAGTACATGGGTCTATTTGCACCTTTTCCCATAATTATATACTCCGTACTTCATATAAATTATGTTTAAATTTTTTGTCAATATAGAAGCTTAAACTAATCCATCGATGGGCCACTTATTAAGGGCCATGCGTGGCCGAGAATTGAAGGCCACACCTTATGGCCTAGCTAAGGCATACTTACTTAGGAAGTACAATGACTCAAAAGTGTAAAGGCCCAAAAAGCGGATATTTAAACATGAATTGAAGGCGAAGGCAACAAGATTTCATAATTTGCAAGATTAGTACATGAGGGGCCATTGCCACTACAAAAACTACAAAGTAGAAGCCAAAGACACGTTACAAATGAGGTTTCAGCTAGGATATGTTGAGTAAAGAGGTTTCAAGCTTGTCCTTAGCCCCATTCTCTTCCTCGGCATCCTCGTCTTTTTCCTCAACATCGAAAGATTTTGGGGATGAATCCACAATCTTCTTCTGTCGCTCATTTTCTCTAGGAGGCCATAATCGTCTAAGTGGAAGTTGGGGAAGTGACGAACCAACCGACTAATTAAGAAAATTGTCTTAAATTACGAATTGAAATAATTACATAAATATGATCAAAATAAAGATGATTTACAAAAATATGATTAGTGACTAGAGTAGTAATGAAATCATAGTAATTCATGTTCAAGTTTTGAGTTTAAGTTACCACAACACCACATTGTAGTAATGAATAATCATATTTATGTAAATATATTTTATTTTAGTAATATTATTGTAAAAAACCCTACGTATTTGAAATAAAAATTATTTCCCCCAATTTTTATTTCAAATGCATCAATTTTTTTTGTATACAAAGACTCTTATTCAATGAATTGTGCCATATCCATCCAGTTATATTAATTTTACTTATATTTTGAGATTTAGCAAGCTTTTAAATGGACTTCATAGACAAAAATGTATAGTAACTAGTTTATTTCTTACGACTTTATAATGCTATCTTTTTTGTTTATGGGTGATAATATCTAAATATTTACATTTTAAAATTTGGTGTTATAGATTTGTGGTTACATGTGGTTGTGCGTTGTTTAATTTATAGATTTGTGGTTAGATATTTTGTTAATTAATTTAAAATGTTGTTTTATATTTTTATTTTAAATTGTTACTATATTATTATTACGATGACATTGATACTTAACGAATTTGAGAATTTTATAGCTAACTAGATACTTTGCTAGTATAGTTGTATCTTCTTATAAAAAAAGAATCGAGAATTCAAATCGGACCGTCGTGACAGGTAAGATCCGATTCTTATTTTGAAATTTGATATTTTCTAACTGAACCTATCCATAACATAGAATCGGCGTTTTTTGAAAATTTATCAATTAAATGTCCACACCCTCGTGGGAATTCCATTTAATGAGAATTTTCGATTCCCATAAATGGATTCTTTTTAAAGACATGTTTTAAAGTGCTGAAGATAAAGTCATAAAACAAGATTCGCTGAATCATCATCACTACAAATATTTCCAATTCAAACTCTTGCAGTATGGTCTTGCTTTGGGGTTGTAGAAAGGGGGAGAGGGGAAAAAAGGGGGGTTGGGAGGGAGTGTACTGGACACAAGTTCATTTCTCTCTCGTTTACTTCTCTCTCCTCCTCTCTCTTTTTGACTGGTTGGTTAATGATGCTGATGATGTAGGCTGGAATGTTCATAGAACAACTTCAATATATTGAGATCTTCCTCAATGCATACATCAAAGTAATCGAGTTAGCCACACAATGTTTCAATCTCTCGCAATAGCTACCACCATACCCCTTCCCCGTCAGGCGATGTTCCATTTCAAGCCATATCGCACATGGAGCCCTCCTTGCGTTTCTATTTCAGGTTAGCTTCTACGTTTATTATTATTGTGCCTCTTTGCCGTTCTGGCATGCTTTATACCAAACACAACTGCCATATACATACTCAAAATCTCTTGCATTTTCTTTTTTTAGTCATCTCACACTGGCCAATTATAAATATACAAATTCCATTATAATGTTTTTGAATTACTCTTATAGGGTTGACCTTTTAGGGTGAAGACCAAGATTTAATAGTTTTTACTTCAAAGTCATCAACAATTGTATCAAACCATCTCTATAGTTCATCAACATCTTCTATGGTCAGTTTGGACCGCAATAAATCCTAGGGAAAAAGGGAAGGAAAGCTTAGGAAAACACACGGGGACAAAAAACAGGTTAAAACTCAATGGATTTGTTTTAGATATTTGTTGAAACTAATTTGATTAGTTCACGTCTATTATATAAAGAATAAGAAACTAAAATATGTCATCATCATCATCATCACCCCAGTGCCGCAAAGGCTCCCACCATCCGTGGGGTAAGGGGGTCAGATGTACGTAGTCTTACCCTTGTACTAAAGCATAGATAGACTGTTTCCCGATGAGTCACAAAAGAAACTAAAATATGTAAAGGTTAAAAAATAATAAACTATATTTCATTTTCCCTCACATTTTTCAAGGTAAAACCATACATAAAAAATAACTTCCACAATTTTAGAACTACTCTACAATCTAAAGAAGAATAATGTCAAAACTTTTTGCATCAATGGATCATTGTTTATATCTTCCGTTTTTTGCAGCTAGTTTGGGCATTTCTAATGAAAGAGGCAGATCAATCGATGTGCATTTTTCAGTAAGATTTTAAGGGATTCGTTCCCTCCATTGACTTTCACTCTTTTGATTTTCAAATATTAGCCAACTAGTAGATATATAATCATATGCTGCAATGCAGGGAATTCAATTGACCAAAGAAAAGATCAGGAAATTGTTCAACAATGTTGAACTCTCTGTTTCTCCATATGACATTGCATGGGTAGCTATGATCCCTTCTCCACATTCCCCAGAAATCCCTCGTTTTCCTGAATGTTTGGATTGGGTGGTAAGTAATCAGTATCAAGATGGATCATGGGGTCTCCGTAATGTTCATCCCATGTTTCTCAAAGATGTTCTCTTATCAACTCTGGCATGTGTGCTTGCACTGAAAAGATGGGGTATTGGTGAAGAACATATCAATAAAGGTATTCAATCGTATTCTTCTTGAAGTGTTGTACATAGTACTTAGGATTTGTTCTCTTTGCATGGAAAAATGTAGTATCGTCTGAACTTTTAAGGCAGTCTATTCTGAATATTTTTGGTCATGTCTGAATGTTTCTTGTTTGATCTTTTGGTTTGTCCGGACTTGAATGTTTTTAATCTTGGCTAATTTTCTTAGCTGAAAGGTAGCATCTGATCTGGTCTGAATCTTTCTGGTTTGGGGGTCTGATTATAACAAGAATAGGGAATCGGCAGAAAAGGGAAAATAAAGTAATACCTTGTATTTGCTAATGATGTTGGTACTTCATATGTTGCAGGTTTGCTTTTCATTGAGTCAAATTTCACATCTGCTGCTGATAGAAGTCAAATTACACCCACTGGGTTTGATATCATATTCTCCGGGATGCTTGATTGTCTTAATGCATTGTCTTTGAAGCTCCACTTAGACCCTAAAATCTTGA